AGGGAGCAACTTTTTTTTTTTAATTGAACCATACTTGATTGTACACATCTGTGGGGTACAATACGGAGCAACTTTCCATCCTCCCTTTGTTATACCTAAGATTCGTATTCCTTAAATTAAAGTCTGGCCGAGGTTGCACTCCATGGACATCCTTTGGTCCTGAGAAGATAAAATACTTTCTATGTAATACCAATTTTATGCAATAGAAGAGGGACAGTCCCCCAAAGGATGGCAAAGGGGTGCTGGGCAAGAAAAAGTAATAGACACCCATTACTTGACGTATTCAACTCAAATATTTTCCAATGATTTTTTGTTTGTTTGTGACAGTTGTCCTCATTTTCCTTTGTTACTGAGATGATACACAGTGTTCTGTTAAGTTGTGACAAGCTCAGATATCTACCAACATGCTTTTTGATGTCCTCGTTTCTTCTCTCTAAGCAAATGCTGCATTGGATAGNTTTAGATAGAATGACATGTCTTGCCCCTCTCATTTTTTGTAACATTTTAAACATTTAAGATATTTAGATTCTATTTTTTATGAGTTTAGTTTTTAAATATTTATGGAAATATCATGCAAATATATAATCTGTCTTTCTGTTATTATAACAGATATTCTAGCAAGAAACACTAGAGGGCATTCATTGATCTTTCCAAAGACATTTATACACTATTTTTATATGCACTTGTTCATATGCAGTGCAACTTGTTCATGATTGAGAACCTAAATATAAAAATTTTCATTTTCTAAAATATCTAAGCATATTACTGAATACTCAAGAAACCAAACAATGAAAAATAGATAAGTGGGTCACTTTTGTAAATAATATAAAAATTATTTATATTATTTATAAACAATTAAAATTTTAAACGAATCTTAACATATCTCTCCCCCACCTTTACAAACCCACTTTTCAGATCAAGGAAGAATCTAATAAAGGTTAAGTAAATTTAAACAATGTTTGTGAAATCCTTTAAAAAGTATAAAGAAAAGCTCCTGGGAGGTGTTCGCGCAGGATACCTCATCCTTTGAGGATGCTAGATTTCTGGGTTGTGTGTGGGTGGCAGACTTGGGAAAGGTGTGGTTGACAGCAAGCCTGATGCACACTCCCAGGAATCATGCCCTTGTTGATATCTCCCAACTTCCTGCCCAAATGGACTTTCAGATTTTTTCTAGATGCTTCTTGTCTGGGCCACTGGGTAAGTAATTTCCTGAGTCACACTCCTGGGACCTCTTCAAGTCACTTTCTGACAACTCCTTATCCTCCTCCAGAACCTTCACTGACGTGATTCCTGAATCCTTGGATAGATCTTCTAGTACTATCCTGATCTTGCCCTAGGTTTTTGATTGGGTCTTTCTCTAGTTTGAACTTTACTGGGCCCTTTCTACAGAATCTTCCAGAGCTCCTGGACTTCATCTTCTGTACATTCTTTCTGCTTTCACCTGCAAATCCAGAAGGCTTGGAGGGCCCATGCTTGATTTTTGCTGGACACTGACATGTCATCAGTGAGAATTTGCCTTGAGGCCTTGTCAGTTGCTCAGGGCCGTCAGGTGGTTCATCTTTGATGAATGTATCTTGTTGCTGCAGTTTTTCCTGGAGATCAGGGATGATAGAATCNCTACCAACATGCTTTTTGATGTCCTCGTTTCTTCTCTCTAAGCAAATGCTGCATTGGATAGGCCAGACACTGGTTCTTGATGACTGAGGCACTGGTATTTTTTATTCTTGGCATTATACATTCTTGGAATGATCGATACTATGTAAAGTTTAGGCAAGGCACAACGGAACGTGCAGGTTTTGGTGCATGTCCGGGTAAATTGTGTTCCTATACTGCTTTCTATTTTCACCATGACCATTACTGGGGGACTTAAGCAGAGGCAGCAGATGCCCGTGGAAATAGTATTTTATCTTCCAGAGACAGAAGCTCTGTGTATGCATGCTCATGGGCAGGGCACAGGCATGGCTTTGGGGACAAATTGCCTGTATATTGCTGCTTCTTTAAGAATGACTCCTGTAACTACTTTAGTTTGGAGTTAGCTAGAAAGGTAGAACTAGAAAGAAGGCAAGAAGTTTGTTCCACATCTGAAAAACTCTCAGAACAGCTTTGATTTCTATCACCATTCTGTATACATTACAATATATCTATTGTTTAGATAGAATGACATGTCTTGCCCCTCTCATTTTTTGTAACATTTTAAACATTTAAGAT